GCAATCTCTCATATATTTGGCTCCAAAAATTGTAAAAATACTATCCTACTACTGATTTTGTAAACCATTCTACCTGTACAAGTGGAAGCTGCAGGTAAAATTTGAGGCACTTGGTTTCTCTGATTGTATTTTTAAAATTTTTAGAGTCAAATATGTTGGAAACGGTCCAATCAAATATAGACAAACTATATAGGATCACAGGAATACAAATTTAGGCATTTTTGCCGGTCCTCAAATTTTTGCATACTCAACTATTTGTAGTGCCTGCTCTATAATATAATAGAATTTGAGATTTGATTATTCAAAATTTTCAAAAATCCAACTCAATTTTGTAAATAAATTTGTACATTACATAATCGAGTATAAAGTGAACTTTACTGTACGTTTATGGCTTTATTGGGTCTTAAAAAGACTCTGCAAAGGTAAAGCAGCACATCATTATGTCATAATCAATCGTTTTATAATAATGATATTAAGGGCCGAATTTATAGTACCGCTCCTTGAGGTTTCCTTGGACCTTAAGGAAGCCTTGAACGTTTAGAATTGATATGACTAACTTGTCAAATAGTACCAAGTGTCCATTCTAAGCTCACGACCTTTAATGCAGACTCAAGGAATGACTATAAATTCGGCCCTAAAAGTTATAGAAGGTTGAAATTACTAACAAATTTCCCTTTGAGGCGTTAACTGGCAACATTGTTAATAGATGTCAATATAGCTTGACAACTGACAGGATTTACAAAGGCAAAGATTTCATTAGAAATTTTTTAAAAAATATAAGGTTTATCTATCATTCGGTATTTACAGTAAAAATAATAAATTACATGGAATTTCAACGAATAGAAACTGAAAAGGAATTCCATGGAATTCTAGTAGAATAGTGTATTTCCATAAAGTTGCATGGAATTCCAAAAAATTACGTATACCCTCAACTTTCAAAAAATAAAATACACGTCCAGTAAAATTATGCGGAATTCCATGAAATGAAGTGGAATTCTAATGAAATTCAAAGAATTTCAGCAAATAAAAAAGAATTTTATGGAATTATAGAAAAATAACGTTATTTCAATAAAGTTACATGAAATACCAAAAAAAAAAACATGAAATTCCAGTGAAATTAAAAAATTACATTGAATTTCAAAAGCATATGTGGAATTCCAGTAAAGAAAAATACGCGAGTTCCGTTGAATTTCAGTGTAATTGTGAAATATCATGAAATTTCAACGAATACAAACTAAAAAGTGATTTCCATGGAATTCTAGAAGAATGATGTATTTCCATAAAATTACATGGAATACCAAAAAATCACGTACCTATATGTAATTACAAAAAATACGCGGAATTCAAGTAAAATCATGCGGAATTCCAATTCTAATTAAATTACATACATGAAATTTCAACAAATAAAAAGGAATATTATGGAGTTATGGGAAAATAACGTTATATCAATAAAGTCACATGGAATTCCAAAAAAAAAACCATGAAATTATAGGGAATTTCAGTGAAATTATGAAATTTCATGGAATTTCAACGAATAGAAACTAAAGAGAAATTCTAGAAGAATAATGTATTTCCATTAAATTACATGGAATTTCAAAAAATAACGTATCTACTATATGTAATACGCGAAATTCCAGTAAAATTTTGCGAAGTTCTGATGAAGTGGAACTCTAATGGAACTACATGGAATTCCAAAAAATAAAAATAAAACATGAATTTCCGGTAAAACCACGAAGAAATTAAAAAAAAAAATACATGAAATTCCAAAACCATAAAAACTACTCAAACTACTCAGGTAAAGTGGCTATTTCCATTTACAATATAGAAAAATAAATAAGGTGGGCAAAAAAAGTGGTCCTTATTCCGTTTTGACTAGTTTATGTGGAATTCCAGAAAAAAAAATACGCAAATTCTGTTGAATTTCAGCGGAATTGAGAAATTACATGGAATTTCAACGAATAGAAACTAAAAAGCAATACCATTGAATTCTAGAAGCATAAGGTATTTCAATGGTATCTCCATAAAGTTACATGGAATTCCCAAGAAAAAAAGAAAAATATGAAATTCCGGTGAAATTTAAAAAATTGCATAGAATTCCACAAACATATGTAAAATTCCAGAAGAAAAAAAAAATTCGCGAATTTCGTTAAACTTCAGTGGAATTGTGAAATTACATGAAATTTCAACGAATAGAAATTCCAAAAAATTACATACCTATATGTAATTCGTCAGAATAAAATACGCAAAATTCCAGTAAAATTATGTGTGGAATTCTAATGAAATTACATACATGGAGTTTAATCAAATAAAAAGGATTTTTATGGAATTTTATTAAGAGCCAGGGATAATAAAATATTGATCACCCTGTAACTTTACACATTGGTGGTGTTTTCGATCACCGGTTTTCGTGAAAGATTTCTTACAAGAGCCGGAAATAATAAAATTATTGATCACTTTGTATATTTATACAGTGGCTTATTTCTGTTACGTCAAATTACAGTGGGTAGAATTGTTTTCTATTACCGGCTCTTGTCGAAGATTTTATACATTGAGCGCCAGGGATAATAAAATATTGATCACCCTGTATCTTTACACAGTGGTGGATTTGTTTTCGAACACCGGTTTTGGTGGAAGATTTCCTACAAGAGCTGAGAATGATAAAATATTGATCACTCTCTGTATCTTTACACAGTGGCTTATTTTAATTGAGTCAAATTACAGTGGGTAGAATGTTTTCTATTAGGTACCGGCTCTCGTCAAAGATTTTCTACATTACGAGCCAGGGATAATGAAATATTGATCACCCTGTATCTTTACACAGTGGTGGAATTGTTTCCGATTACCGGTTTCCATGAAATATTTCCTACAAGAGCCAGAAATAATAAAATATTGATCACTCTGTATATTTATATAGTGGCTTATTTTTGTTCAAATTACAGTGGGTAGAATTGTTTTCTATTACCAGCTCTTGTTGAAGATTTTCTACATTGAGAACCAGGGATAATAAAACATTGATCACCCTGTATCTTTACGCAGTGGCCTATTTTAATTGAGTCAAATTGCAGTGGGTAGAATGTTTTCTATTACCGGCTCTCATCAAAGATTTTCTACATTACGAGCCAGGGATAATAGAATATTGATCACCCTGTATCTTTACACAGTGGTGGAATTGTTTTCGATTACCAGTTTTCGTGAAAGATTTCTTACATAAGAATCGAGAATAATAAAATATTGAACACTTTGTATCTTTACACAGTGGCTTATTTTAATTGAGTCAAATTACAGTGGGTAGAATATTTTCTATTACCGGCTCTTGTCAAATATTTTCTACATTAGAAGCTAGGGATAATAAAATATTGATCACCCTGTATATCTTTATACAGTGGCTTATTTCCATCGATCCAAATTACAGTGGGTAAAATTGTTTCCTATAACCGGCTCTCGTCAAAGATTTTTTACATTAAGAACCAGGGATAATATAGTTATTTATGTACCAAGGGAATTATGAGGGTGTTAAATACTCCAGGGCAAAGTTTGTGTCCCGAGGGCCTTCGGCCCGAGGGACACCAATTGCCCGTGGGTATTAACAGCTGATAATTCCCGCTGATAATTTTATTTCCTACTGAATTTACTGTAATTTGTCCATTTTTATAAAGGAATAAACCATAAACTAAAATTTCTATTCTTTGTCAAAGTTTCACCTATTCAAGGTAAGAGCGGGAGTTATGGAAATCCTTAACTCCCTTGGGAGTTGAGACCCTCTTTATGAATATTGTAACCAAGGTTTTATATGGTTATAATAGTTCAGTAGGAAATAAAAATATACTCCTGGACAAAATTATCGCACCACCACTGCACATAAGCACCATAAGCAGTGGTGCGATAATTTTGTCCAGGAGTATATTAATCACCCTGTATCTTTACACAGTGGTTGAATCGAAGACCTACACAAGCGTGATATTCAAACAATAACAATAATCAGAGATAATTCGAAAACAAGGAAGAAAACGGAACCTGCAAAAATTTAAATGAAAATTACATAAATCAGTCCTGAAAGGAAGCGTAGAAACGCAATCTTAATGGGAGAAAAATTTTCTGGAAGATAAAAATGGATGAGTGATTATTTTGATGAAGTCCTCTAATAAACTTTGAAGCAGTCTGGACACCATGAAAGCACTGTTTACACTCAATACTATGACAGAATGATACAATGCTATAACAAATTCTTTGATAAGGTTTTAGACATGCTCAGTTCTCAGTTCACCTGTTGAGAAAAAAGTGAGACTTGAGAATGAGAACTGTGAAAATAATAGCAAATATCTATTTCAGTTACAAAGCAATTTACTCATTATTTCAATCAATAACACCCTCATTTTTAGCTCTAAATAAAATAAAGATACAGAATCCTTGGACTATAAGATTATGAAGGTTTTCTTGAATTCCAAGCTATTTTTCGACAAAAATTTCATTAAGTCATTATTGAATCGGTTACGAAGAATAAGCAAATAAAAACATTTTCCACGGATTAATTGCGTGTAAAATTTAGTTTGGGATTTGGCCATCATCCCGATAATGAGTTATCATTATCAATATCGAGCCGACAAAGCAAACGCGAGGATTTAACGTTAATCCCTTTTATCTGCCTTTTGATGTTGGCTGTCGATACATCAAAGGGAACTTTATTGGAAATAAATTGACTAGTCGTCGCGTCGAGTAAAGATGTACTCCAAGAGTGTACTTATAGATATTTACAATAATAATCATTATAATAGTGTTTTGACTAAGTATAAATATTTGGAATTTAAGATGACTCAAGAGAAAATCAAAAATTCGATACAATATCGATTTTAAATAGATACAAAAAAAGCCCCTCCTTACATACATTTAACATTTCGAAGCTTCATCCCCATCCCCTTTAAACTCTCCAGAGGGCAATTGGGCCAGTGTTCCACTGGCAACTTCTAATAGGATTTCCAAAATAAATAAATAAAAATCTTATATTAATACAAAAAAAAACACATTTATTTTTTTCCTAAATCTCCAAAATATTCAAAATATTTGTCTTGCAATAATAATAAAATTGAATACTTAATAATATTAAAAGCTAATTAATCATAATTATTTAATTAATAATAATTAAGAAACGTATTTACATCACAAGTTTAATTACATAAAATATATTTATAGAAAAAATAATTGCACCAAGGAGAAAACAAGTTTTTATTAATTATTTAATCGTTTTATTGCACAAACAATTTGCCCCAGAAAACGGAGCAAATTTCCTCAATACGGCAACGTTGCATCGAACATTGAACGAATCACAGAAAATTTATTTTGCATCCCACAACAAAAATGTTGTCAAATTATAAATAGTTTATTATATTACAATAAAGTGAGATGTATAAATCAATGAATGTATATGCATCTCATTTTAACAAATAGTTTTCATCCTACTAATATTAGGCGTTGCCATTTAAAAAGAATTTTGTATCCTTGTCTGTCACATAGTTTTGAAGTAAGATAATAAGAAATTAATGCTTATTGTCTTCTTTCATCTTACATTATCAAACTAAACTTGTTGCTAAAATGAGATAAAAATTGCATGACTATTCATTCATATAACATAAAAGTGTTCTGCAACGTTGCCAAACCTCAAACAATATCACTCGCTTCACTTTTCATCGACTGTTGCTGAAGATCATTTACCATAAACCGTTGCTGTTGCTCCATAATACTGTGGTTGATTTGGTTCATGGTAGGCGGCGCCGCTATCGTCGGATACATGTCGATTTGGTGTTTTTCTTCGACGCGTTTTTTGTTTTGTTTCCGTTCCTTCGCCCTGCGATTCTGGAACCAGATTTTCACTTGACGTTCCGACAGGCCCAGTGTCGCGGCCAGTTCCGATTTACGTCGAATCGTGATGTATTTGTTGACGAAGGTGAATTCTTTTTCGAGTTCTATCCGTTGATGGTCAGTGTAGACGACGCGGTATTTGTCTTTTGTCCTTGTTTTACCTGTAACAATAAAGAAAGAGGGAATTAGTTTACGGTTGACGTTTAATATTCAAAAGTTCTCAAAAAAATGACGTCATAATTTTAACCAAAAGAGAAATGTGAATTTTTCTCTGTAAAAACCATTGTAATTCTTGTTAGCAAAAGAAAGAGACCGCATGATATTTACATTATTTACTCTTGTACGTAAAGTAAACAGTATTCAGGTGAAGAGGGTCCTTATCGTGTTATTTGCCGACATTTTTTTTTTTCATGTTGCCGACACTATAATCCACCATTTCCACACTTTATCTTTATTGAAAATGTATAGAGAGAGTGAGAACTATTATTATTGTAAATATTATGCTATTTTAAAAGAATTCTGAATAATTGCAATTTCAATTCGATTGCACACGCTTTTATTGACAGTTGACAAATAAACAATGCTTTAAATGTCAATTGTCAAAAAAAAAGAGCCTACTAAACGACCAATTCTTCGTCGGTTATTTTCGTTCGTTTCGGTATAATAAATAAAATAATTATTGATAATAAAGACGACGATCAAGGGGCCTCGGGGGCCAACCTGTAAAAACCCAACACTCCGGCCGGACATTAAAGGCCTCGAGGCCATAAAGCGTTGCCTCCATTGGACCCGCTTTATGGCCAATCAAAATCCGGAGAAGAAGAAGAAGCGGCGCGTTTTATAGCCTTCGGAGGAATTTTTAACACGTAATTAATTTTTATTTTTTTTTAATGGATTTAATGAAAATGTTAGGACTGAGTGGTACTGAGTCGGTTATTATGAGGTGATACGAGTGCCATGTTGCTTTCGGTTTTTTGTTTAAATCATCTTCAATAGTATATATTTCCTAACTAGAGCGCTTTTTCGTATGAGTCAGTAACAATGCACTAGTGCGGAAAAATGATACTTTCATGACCTAATATGCGTGCGGAAAAGTGACGGTTCATGACGGATTAGTTTTGGTAGATATTTTGTTTTCTTTGCTTCTGCAAAAATTTCTTATCTTTTTAACGACGTTTTTAGTTGGTGGTAGAAAGGGGTTTATCGATATTCATAGATATCGACACGATATTTTTTCAAACTCTGTACTTTTCATTCATATCGATATTAATGAGAGTATAAATATCGATACTTTCGATAAGATATTTCTCAATTTTTTTGTCTATTCCCGGCTCTTGAATTTGTCAAAATTATAGGCGATTTTCAGCCTGGAATGATTATTTATCGGTAAATACCGTGGTTATTCTTTTGGTTGACAACTTTGACAGCCAAGTGTGACGTCATAGCCCCCCACCATTCAAGAATCATAACCCAGGGAACTGACCGCTGAAATGATTTGGTTATAGCAGTGTAGGATTATGTTTATTATTCTTATTTACTTTTTCGTTTCAACAATAGTTTTTTGTTTAGGTACAAAAAATGGAACTGAATCTCTCGTTAGTCTCGTTTATCGAACAGATTTTCTTTGGGGATAATCTAAACCTCGATCTAAACATGCTGAATGGCAGCAAATATCCAGTTAAATTCCTCAAAATTTTGTAGAGGGCGCGAGTGAACTTGGAGTGCTTTAAATTTTGGCGGTAAATGTCAATAGTTTTAAACCGATTGAATTGAATAGAAGAAATAGATGACTACATGTGAACAATGGACAATGGATAAGTTAAAATATCTTCCAAAGCGTTCAGTGCCCCTTTAGAGAATGTTTTTAAAAGTGTCAGCGTCAATTTGTCTTGAAACCACACATGAAACTTATGACGATTTCCATTTGTCAATCAGTGCGCACTGAGTGTATCTGCATCTTTTTCTAACAGCATGTAACATGTAAGGATAAGAATACATTATTTTCGCACTGGTTCGACAAATGAAAACCGCTATTAAGTTTTGAGGTTAAAATTTCAATCGATTTTTTACGCGCCAAAATTTAAAGAGATCCAAGTACAGAAGCGCCCTCTTCAACTCAATTGTCAATATTACATGCCATTGCTGTGAGTGAGTGAATGTATACTTCTTTCATTGTGCCAGGCTACGCTACAACGCAACTGCAAAATCACAAAACACCAATACAATTGCCAAAAATAATAACAATTACATCAAAAAGCTGTAACCAAAAGATTAACCCAGGTCCAAAACTGGGTTATAATCGGTTATAAGTGGTAAATACTTATAGCAAATCAGCTGATATGTGACGTCACAACTTCCCCAATTTTGGTTAAAACCGCGATGGCGGAAATGCATTGGTTATAACCAAATAATAATCATTCCAGGCTGAAAATCGCCTTAGGTTGTTTGATAACAAGGATGTTTAAGAGAAATAAGTTGTCAACTTTATGACGTCATCTGGGGTGCCTCAACATATTACTAATCTCCATAAAGCACCTTAGATGCGTCATGAAGTTACCCATGACCATACAACCTATTAACTTTAGGAACCTTGGTATAGTGATGGGAAACAGATGAAATCATCTGGGGTTATCAGCCAACTTAAGTCTCCTTAAGTTAATAGGTTCATAAGTTGTCTGGTAATGGGTTACTTCGATAACGTCTGTAGGGTACCTTATGGAGATTTGCATTATGTTGAGGTACTCCAGATGACGTCATAAAAGTTATCAGGCAATCTACCTCTTTCAAACAATCTTGCAGGCAACCTACTTTTTTCAAACAACCTTGAGCCGAACGCTTCGGATAGAAAAAATATGAATCTCCTGATCATTTAAAGACTATGGTCGCGTTCACCAGTACTCAACATGTTGAGTGATTAGTAAACGGCTTTGTTCCAACAAGTGGAATACACAAGGTAGAACAGTTTTGATTGGTCTAGAGCTGATTTTCATCTGTTTTCAACAAAGCCGTTAACTAATCACTCTACATGTTGAGTGCTGGTGAACGTGACCATTGACATTTGCGTTTAACGAATGACGTTGGACAATAGTTTTTTGCAAGATCCTCATCGATACATATCGATATGACAAATTCTTATCGATATGCATTTCTTCTAAGAAGTATCGATAAGGTCTCTCATCTTTCCAGGTCACCATCCAGTCATCAGAAGGGCGTCCAATTTTAAATCACTTTCCACATTGGTCTCATGCACATCTTTTGTCTGAAATAGAACGTCGTACTGTCGACATGTTTTGGACGTCCAGCCAACGACATTCTTAGCAACCTCTTACTAACGTCCTTATTATAACCAATCAGTTTTTCAATAGTTGTGTTTTAAATACTGAGTTTTTTCCAGTTCTCATCTCATTACGTATCCGTCTAGACGTCAAAAATAAACATTATTTGGCTGTGGCTGCGACTTAGGTACGTCATTTGGACGTCTTACAAGGCGAGTTCGGTTAATCTTCGGCTAGCTAAGAGATGACTAGGCCTGTTCGCACAGCAATCACAAACCAGTCAGAGCGAATTTCATTGGTTGGAAACAGTCAGAAAACTAGTTTCAACCAATAAAATTCGCTCTGACTGGTTGGTGATTTCTGTGCGAACAGGCCTGTTGACAGAAGCTCACGTGATCTTCCATTCAAAGTTACAAAAGTGATCGCATAGGATCGTCATCATCTTTTTGCTTGGGGAGGATTAACCGAACTCTACTTATGTACAGGGTGCTGCAATTTGGAGTGTTTTAACAGGAATAACACACTTCCAGACCAGATAGAGGAAAATTGACTTAGATGTCATGGGATCGATTTTCGAGAAACGTCGATTGTCAAAAACCGTATCGCGATATCTTCAATGGTACCATTAATACACGGCGATTTTCGATTTTCCCCTATTATGAAAAATGGCTATAAGTTTTTTATTTATCAATTTTTTTCATTTCTGTGAAAACATTATGGAGACACTTTTTTGAGCACAATCCAGTGGCGGACTCGGTTTTTTTCTATATCGCTCTGATTTCGAGATATCGACCAAACTCCGATATTTTCAAATGAAACATCCTTTATATTAATAGCTCATTGGATAGCTCTGTTTTTGCTGATTTCAATGATATAAAGTTCGATAGGTTTATCTCTAATAGTTTTCGAGAAAAAAAATTATATCTGTTTCAGTCATAAGAAACAATGTGTTAGAAAGAGACCTTTCTCACTTTCCTTACACATATAAAATCCTAGAAACATTTTCATTTCGTTATTTTTAGCCATTGATATAAACAAAGACTCAGGAACGGACGCACTGCTTTATGCTAGTGTGGCGAATTTTGATACATGCAACCCAGCAGTACAGAGGGATTGTTGTCTTGCTCGCACTCATTGCGATTAACGTAAAAGAAAGAAGAGCTTCTTCAACTTTCCAACCTCAATGATTCAAACAGCTGTTTTAATAGCCGCCATAGTGCAGAGAGAGATGCAAATCCCTCTTGTTTGCTGTCCTTCCTGGCACAAACCCTTGCGAAGAAACATTATACAGCCACCGTTCCAGTGTGTTTGTTCAGTTCATTGTTTTTAGCTGTCGTCAGAATTATTCACACATGACATTCTGGTAAATTATAAGAAAAAAAAATAGGCATTGACATCATTGTCTGTTCTTGTTCGATGACGTCATTCTAAATATAAGATGAAAAACCTATATTTTCGTTATTTATACATTTTTGTGTCCTGTGCTAATCCAAGCTTACCCAAACTAACCCGTCCGCCCTGTAAATAATCTTTGAAAAAAACACCAATACAGTTACCAGCTACCTAATAGAAAACGCCTATTTAACTACATTGACAAATCATTTCAGATGACGTTTCATCAACGAGCGTGCGGAAAGTGTCTTCATTTTACCACCCTTATAACGGCTTGATGCAAGAATCGCAAACTACCAGGCTTGTTCATCCTAATAGGCATACGTTTGCCAAGACATCACCAAATGAGCAGCTAATAGTGGTGACGTCACCCGCAGACCAGACATAGAAGTCTTGCGGGATTGATCGCTTTGCGTCTTTCGGCCAACTGGTAAAGTATCACTTTCCGCATTTGTTAGGTAAATAACAATTATAATGTGTTTAGAAATAGAATT